GACGTCACTCTTAAGAGACAATATATTGTACAAACGTTACGTTTTGGATCGCGCTATTTAAGCTATGATCGATTCGGATTTAAGCGTCTCAATAACAGAGAAATAATTATTTTCAGAAAATTAATGATAATCGTCAATTTTCATGTAAATAAAAAAAAGTTTCTAGAAATGGTAAGCATGTTTTGATTATTACAAATAGTAAAACGATCGTATCATTGACAACGTCTTGATATTAAATAAGAACATTATAAAATGATTTGTAAAGTAAATTTTTTTAACGTAAATATGGAAACTTTCCATACATAGATGACAGGCAGTTATTGGCCAATACTTTACACGCGTCTATATTCGTTAATGAATCCGGAAAATTATAAACTGCGTTAATTCCATTAACGCGAAGTACTTCCGCGAAATGCACACTTTCCGATATGTGTACACATGAATGAATTAGCAGGTAACTAATCTCTGCTAATCTACGGATGTTTCCATTTCGCAAGTCACCTTCAAGGACTGCAACTAATTGGTCATCGAGATAACATAACATTGGTGATCATACTCTTAATCAGAACACTATGAGTATTCCCTGAAACACAATTTATCCTTTAATTTACTTAGCTCTAATTAGTACAGCCACACAAGGCTACAGTCAGGAAATATACGCTATCTAATTAGAGAGTAAAAAATAAATAAATAATAAAAAATAATTAACTTTAACTGACTATTATGAGATATAAACATTACATAACAAAACATGACTTTAATTATTTCAGAACAATTATTTATTATTATTTATTATTTATTCAGAGAATCAAAATGATCTGAAAGGGAATTCAATGTATGCGAATATTTTAATACTTTTATCAAAATCGTCTAATCGTTCTCCATTGCATTTCCGCCTTTTATTTTATATAATACAATTCTCTTAAAAGCGAGCAGACAGCCGCGTCCATTCTCTTTCGCGAACAATTAAATCCTAAGATTAGCCCTCGAGAAACGAGCACCGGTTTACGAAACCAGTCCGCGAATGGCAGCCGCGTTGGCAACCGACTCGAGAAACGCTGGTCCATAGCGTATTTTTGTTCCGTTTAAATCTGACAAGAATAGAAGAGGACGTGAAGGCAATGCAAATGGCACGTACGAATTCGTAGGTCTTCAAGAAATTCGTCCAACTTGGTGTCAGCGAGGAAAGAGAGTAAACGCTTCTTTTACATTTTGTTGTTTTAATTTTCGCCTCCTAGAAGTTTATGCTTCTGTTACTTTCCCACTACTCATTCAACTTATGCTCCGATTTTTATTTTCATCAGGGATCCAGCTGCTTCTCCGGAAGGTTAAAAAAGATGCACAAAAGCCATGTTTTCTCGTTCGATTCCTTCCGGATATTTACAAATTAATAATCGTCAACGTTTTGCGATTTCCGTCGTAAGAGATCAGCCGTCCATTGCTGCTTCACTCTCTCGTAAGGTGAAAATCAGGACAACAACCCACGAGGAACATGCAGGAGCTGCACGGGATATCGATCGACCCCCGGGCTATTCTGGATAACACCCACGCACACACAGATGCGCGTAGGTCGGGCTGGGATGGAATCAGGTCGGCTGGAAGGAGATCTCCGTGCGAAAGTGGCTTGCGGTCTCGCTTGCGACCGTCCAGCAAAGAACAGCTTCTCGAGGATGGCTCTCACAAAGTCGACTGTCGAAGAGAATGAGCAGCGAGATTAATAACAAAAATAGTAAAAACGACTGATCATGAAATTGAGAAAAGCAGAGTCTGCGTGGTCCACTGAGTATACACGCGATGGATTATTAAGAAAATATTTATTTCAATCTACTCGGGACTGTCATTCTGCCGGATAACAAGACAATTAGTTTTTTTTTTCTTTTACGTAATACTGCGCGAAGAATCACACAGCACCGGGGAGTCTTCTTGATGCATACTGCATTCCAACAGGAAGCAACCGTGCAGTTGCAGTTGTAGCAACGAGGGCGAGTGACTTGGGCGTTTGGAATGTCGCGAAGCGTTAACAGGATTGTGAAATTAAAATTCCGGCCTTAGGAATTCGCGGCCATGCCGGCGGCATAACGGGTTCCCCGACGTCGTTTCTTTACAACGCACGCAACGAGAGAAGTGACGAGCAGAAGGACTGACCTCGTTGCGGCCGATAACTACGCTGTTTGTTTTGAAAGTGGTATACCTACTTAAGTTAAGTTTAATGATTTCGTGAGAGTGCAGCGAGATATCTGTTTTGATTAATTCTCCAATGAAACAAGGTCAATACGAGTCCCGCTTCATCGAATACAATTTTCCCTGTAATACTGCTTTTACTCAAATTTTTATACACGTAAGGAAATAAAAATTGCCTTTCTCGAGTCCTATATGGTCACGCAAGATGCCGCATATTTTCTTTCAATTAACTTCAACTTTAAACAGAAGTTAATAATTAGAGCTTAGTCAAAAAAATCGATGACTTTTTATTTCTCGATATTAAAGTAAGGTTCTTTATAAAAATGCACGGTGCTTTTTTACTATAATAGTCAGCATGCTAGTCTTCTAACGAACCAGAAAACTAGCAGCTCTAAAAAATATATAATAATTTATAAAATTACATTTTTTAATTGCTAGTTTTTTTAATTTACTCGAAGACTGGCACTGGTTATTAATAAAAAAAAAACCATCGTGTTAACCTTGCTTAACTCTTAAAATACACGATCGAATCATTCATGTCCTGTACATTTCTTTTCTTCGACAAACTAGACGCATCGTAATTAATCATAATATACAATTTTTTTAATACACAATCTTGTGAAGACTTTTTAAAGATGTCAAGGTACGTAAGAATCGCTCAATAATTTTTGTACATTTGTTAAAGTGAGAAAAATTAACCCGGGACACATAAATGTCTTATTATGTATAGTAAAGGACCGGAAAACCATTGTGTAGGGTTGGCCGGATACTAAGGGTTAGTATCCGGTCGATTACTCGAGAGATTGATACCTTTACCATTGTGTTCCGCAATTCTCCGGGGCTTTCTCTTAATTGTGGAATACTTAATTATCTAGAAACGGATCGGATGTTTTCGAGCGTGAATTTTCCACGATGCCGGCAAAGCGCGCACTGAGAGAAATAATTTTATTATAGGAACAAATCAAGGGAAAGCAAATGTGATATTTATTA